ACTATAAAACTGTTAAAATTTACGGAGAAGGAAACCCTTTTTACGTATGGATTTACGAGAGGTTAAATTTAATTAAAGTAATCGTGATTAAAACTCTGGACTTTTTTTACTTTAATACTGTGCATTTGAGAAGAATGTATTATGGAACTCGCCCCTTGGGTTCGAATCTGCCGCGAAATTACAATCCAAACATGCGACGTGCGCGCGCAGCAGAGCCTCACTTTTGGGCGCCTCATCCCTCCCGTGTGTGGCACCCGTGAAGAGAATGAAAAATTCTTATAATTTTCCATTGAAATGATGGATTAGCAATTGAGGTTATTTTTCGAGGTTAGGAAAAAACACGGAGGGGGAAGAAGGGAGAATGGATAGAATTCACCAGGAAAAATGGATGGAACGATACAGGATTCTCTCAGGATCGTTGGATGGAGCACTGGGGCTGGGTGGCTGCGTCTCTGCAGGACTGGGTCAAATGAGGACTTCTGTTTGTAACTTGTTGGGACGAGAGCTTGGAGGTTAGGACCTGGGTGGCTGCTACAACGTTTCTAAGTTTTTCAGAAGTTTTATATATCCGGCTCGGAGGACCATGAATAATACCAATAATAAAAAACTCACTTTATAGAAGGGATAAAGGTTCTTTTGTTTTTCTTTTAGAAAATAAGGTTTTACAAGAAAGGGTCAAAAAACAGGGATTATGACAGAACGAAACTTTTCTCTGCAACTTTTACTGTAAGAGCTAAGACCAAATCTATTCATACAGTTCCATGGTAACCCCTTCCACCGTGGCCCAGACCGTCCCAGCTGATAAGTCTTAATGGCGGGAACATTATACTTAAGAAAACTTCAAGGTAGTTACTTAAATATTCTCTACGCACCATGAGGTAAAATTGGTAGTTAAAAAGTTTCAAATTTAATAACTAAGTAAGTTAGTGAGGAAAGATCTTAGACTGCCAAGTGTTTCCTGTAAAATTTAATTTCTGGCACCGAATACAGCCCTCGGGCATTTTTTAAGACCGGAGGTTTGATGTTTCGTAGAATATCCTCATTTTCATAAAATAGTTTGTCTTCTTTTGCTGGCCATTTCCAGTCAGAGCCGGACATTGTCATGACCTTCACATTGGCTCCATTGTCTTTCTTCGAAATTACCAACCCTGTAATTACGGAACAATGCCTTCTCGGGCAACACACTTAAGCGCTTGTTTTTCTTTTCAAAATCGGATTCCAGGTATGTGAAAAATTTTGCAATTGCCAAGAGGCATGCACCTCTTCTGTCCTCAACTTCCCTAGTGTGGAGAATCAAATTTTTCAGGGGCACGTGAAGTTGCAAATGTTCGTATTGCACGGCCCTGATGCAATTCGAACATTTACCGCACTTCCCAGGAGTAGCACTGGGGTCTATCGATTTAATTAAGGCCTCTTGAATGCACGTGTGTCTTTGGGTCACAACATACCATGCTAATAACTGATTGCTCCCTTAAGAAATTGTGCCTGGTTTAATTTCTTCGTACATCTTCAAGTCCAAATTTTGCCTGTATTCCATCGATCTGCACATATGCATGTACGTAAAGGACGAGTCCAGAATCACCAAACAAGTTGACTCTTGACCCTTCCTTCCCGCACGTCCACTCTCTTGAATGAAGTTGTTTAATAAATTAATAAAACAAACGCACGAAGGCATAAAAAAAAAAAAAATTACCTTTTTCCCTGACTGCCCTTTTCTTCGGCGGGAGGAATACTGATGCATCTTCTTCGGCTTCTTGGGATTGTTCCGCGCCAATTTCTTCTTCCTCTTCTCTGCCGCGTTTATTTTGTTTTTTGATTACAGTAATATCTATGTACCTCGGGAGGGTGTATTTTTCCCCCCTATGTTGAGGGTTCTTGTTGCGAGTCCCTCCGCTCTTTAGTGTAAATTCCTTACTTGCATCTTCGTTCGGCGGCAAGTACCTGGTCGTTGAATAATACTGATCGATTTCATATTTGGAAGTGCGTTTCCAACTACGTACACTTTAACGTCGTTTAAGAAAAACCAAGCGTGTAGTTTTAAAGCTTGTAGGGTTCAGCGTCGCACGCTTAGTTTTTGCAGAATTTTACCACCTCAAACGGAGCAGCAGAGTTTTTCAAGTATCCACGAAACTCCGAAACAAAAGGCTCATCCAAGTAACACCCGTTCCCCACTTTGAGCGGATTTTTCTTCAATGTGCAATTGCAGGTACTGGAAAGAATTTCCCTCATTGGTCCGCTTATTTGAAAGAACTTGAGTAAAGTGCCGAATCCACCGTAATAGACGTATTGAGAGCCGACGCCCGGTATCCTGCCGGCTTCCGTCCCGTCCAACAGCGATGGAATACCATTGACTTCCAGGACCTGAGGAAGCAAGGGAACAGAATAAGGCATATCAGTCTTCCGAATGGTATTGCTAACAATTCACCTTCTAACGGATCGTCTTTACTTTCGGAAAATGTACCTTAATTCAGAGGATATCCTCGTTTACGTTCCAATCGAATAAAATGCAACGGAATACCCACGCCGTCAGGCGGGCCGCCGAAACAAACTTTAACGGCACCGCCCAGATGGATGTTCACGCTCTCAAGGCTGGCGTCTTCCAGATGGAAGGCGAATACGGTGCCACAGGCACCAAAGTATAGGTACTGGGTGCCGACGCCCGGTATTTGGGAGGCGGAAGTGGCGTCGGGAAAAGACGGGAACTCGTCGAGTATTCACGCTCAGAAGGCTAGAGTCTTCCAAGTGGAAGGTGAACGCCGTGCCAAAGGCACCGTAGTATAAATACTGGGGACCGACACAGGCTATTTGGGAGGCGGAGGTTTCGTCGAGAAAGGACAGACTCCGTCGCAAAATTTTACTTCTGGAAAATTGACCTTAGTTCAGAGGATATCCGTGTTACACAGGAATCTACGATCTGTACCAATTTGTATTTCATCTTGATCGGAATTTTTCATCGGGAAGAAAGCCGACTGCATTACCGAATGGAATCTCTGACACCCGTTACTCGGAAACCTACTTTTTTCGGGCTACTTAAGAGTCAGTAATATGTGTGGGTGAAATGCCTCGAGTGCAATAAAATTATTCAAAGATTCATCATATGATGATTTCGGCCGATGCGCCATCATCAGTGAGATTGCTTTGAAAGAAAATCGTGAGAAATGGTATGTACGTTAACTTTAAAAGCTGAAGAAAACTCGTAGATTTTGTTTAGTTCATCCTAATTAGTTCATGCACGTTCTTTTTGAACGGTTCATCATACCCTAAAGAATATACTCCATTTTCAACCTCGCGTGTAAAGGTGACATTCCTTGCTTTCATCCCTCGCTTTTAACGGGTATTTTCTTGACTATATAATGCAATTGCTGATAGCAGTAGCGTCAGTTACAGTTTCCGCAGTTTTACCATAGATCATGCTAAAATGTAGACAACGAGTTACTGTGAAATATTAACCGTTAGTGTTAATATTAGTTGGGTAAAGCGTATTAATTGGTTCATGAACTTGATCTTTTTGCGTCTTACACTGAAAAAAACACTCCGGCCGTGGAAGCCGTACTTACGGCATATGAATGTTGAATCTCAGAAAAAATAGAAATAATTAAGAAGAAACGACACTTTTATTGAGGACCATTCACCAAGAATATACCAAGAAAAAACATAAGAAAAGCATAACCTCTCTAGATCTAAAATTTTATCAACAGCTGTTTTTTAGCAAGTATTAAACTTAACATCCTGCCCCCGGCTGATCTATTTGATCAGAACAGGTAATGGACAAAGTTCTGTCACGGCTCGAATAAGTACAGAAGTCGGAGTCTTCACTTTTGCAACCCTAACGTGTCCATCAGTACCAGGATATGTTTTGATGATTCTTCCCAAATTCCAATAAAGTGCAGGTGAATTTCTATTTTTGACAACAACCAAGCTTCCAACTTGAATATGACGATTGCTCGTATGCCATTTGGCACAATACTGCAGACTTTGGAGGTACTCTCTTGACCAGCGACGCCAGAAATGAGACAAGTCCTGCTGGAAGCTTTTGTATGTTTTCAAAACGTTTGATGATTTGAA